GTTTTGGCATTTAAAACTTTAGATATTAAAAAAAATCAACTGTCAATCTGTGCTAAGCTTAAAGTGGAAATCGCTTCTATCAAGTGTTATTTTCAAACCTAAATACTCTACTAAAATCTGAAAATCAGACAGCCCATAAGTTAACATTTAGATAAGCTTATAATTTATTTTCAAAGGTTTCTTTTTCTTGTAAACTGGGTTTTTATACTGGCCTTGTGGCAATGTTTTATAGTTATGCAATAGCTAGTACAAATCAATTTAGCTTAGTTTCTGTGTTCTTTTATTGATACATTGTAATATATGGCTTTGCATAATATGAATTTATGATTTAAACGGCACAACTGATTCTATTTCTTGGCTAAAGACCAATTAAATAACCACTGATGCAAGCAGTTATTACCTGCTTAAAAGGAAATCTGTGGTTTCCTTATTTAAACTGCTGAGTTTTTGTGTCCATCAAAAAGGCTGTTATTGCAATGAATAATTTAGCCATTTCAGTCTACTACACATTTTAATACGAGCATGGATTTAAGGCCGAAAACTATGCCTAAAGTTTCACACAGTCCCAAGGATCAGAATCATACTTTCAATAGCTATGCGTACTTATATTTAATATTTCAAATAACATGGTTACAGGAAAATAGTGTCTAATAATTATTTAGATAAGGAAGACTGATGTATCAATTTTGGCAGAAGTAGTTAGTGAAATGGTTGATCGCGAAAGCCTAGAACACATGTCTTTACACGTATGAGAGGACCCTTTTTAAAAATATGAAAGGTCAATGGATTTGGAGATGTCAGAGTGTCATTTCCTCTGTTTGTCCCTTGGTGGAGTTCTTGAGTCACTTTCTCCCTTTCTGTCAAACTGCTTTATATTTCTTTCCAGAACTGGCTATCATGTTTACTGTATTTAACCTTTTTCTCACATTATTGTGAATACAGCGTTTATTATGAATAAAGCCCCCCGCCTCCGCCCCGAGATCACATCTCTAGCACCTACTTTGTATTCTTAACTGTAAACTTTTGTTGTGGCTACCTTCTCTGTCTTTTCCTGAAGCTTAAACTACATCACGGATCCTGAATGCTATTTTTCAGCTCAGTCACTGAAATTTCTTAATTGCAAAGCAGTTTTAGGCAAGCGATGTTAGTAGGTAAATTAAAAAGAAAAAATGGAAAACTACAGAATATTGTAACTTTAGGGTAGGATATGTGGCATAGAAAAGGAACCCTCGGTCAAGGATGAAACACGTATGCTAGAATAGGATGGTATTTATATTTTAATCAATTTTAATCAATTTCAAATTTTATATCTCGGTTTCAAAGGGACAGTTCTTTTTATTGTCCTTTAAAAAAAGTCAATAAAGGAAAAACAGAAATCCCCGACATTTCAACATTCCTTCAAACATTTTGTTTCCTACATACGATGACGTCCTGCCACTCTGATCAATGCAAGCTTTAGGACGCTGATCTCATTTTCTCTCTCCAGTTCTGCCTGCTAAAGCAGCAGCAGCAGCAGCAGGCTCTTTAATTTATTGCAGCCGGTTACACTTTCGATCCCATTTCCTTCGGAACCCTTTCCTCTCAGGTTGAGAAGATAAATGCAGCCTTGGGTCTGAGGAGCCGGGCGGGGTTTGCGGGTGGGAGCGAAGCCGGATATCATATTCCCTCGGTGAGGTCTGGTACCGGGGGGGACTAAGTCCCCCGGTTCCATTTAATGAAATTGCTGAGCACTTGTGACACTGGCTCTGAGACTGCGGAAATGGGGCGGGGGTGGGGGGACTGCTTCTGTCCTCCATGCTCCCTGCCCGCCAGCGGGGCGGGGGCGGGGGCGGGGGTGCTGGAGAGTGTCAGCCCCTAGACAGGGGGCGGAAGAGGATCGGGAGTTCCAGCGCGGCAAGGGCACCCCGAGGCCACCCCCCACCCCCACCCCCACCCCCAGCCCGCCTAGTCTGTTCTCTTCCCCAGAACCGCGCCACCCGGCAAAGCCGCCGCCACTTCTTGGCTGCTCTGGCGGAAAGGTCGGAGCCCGGGACGGAAGGGAAGGGAGCGAAGCCAGGAGGCGTTAGGGCCCCCGCAGTCTGGCCGCACTGCTCTCCATGCAGAACACGTCGGACCCATTTCCCACGCCGGCTTGGCTCGGCGGCGGAGTTGGTAGGGATGAGAGTGAGGAGGGCGGGCCGGAGACTCCCCCCCGCTCCCAAACAGGGAACCACTCCACTGTGAAGGGCGCACCGCACCCCCAGTCATCTGGGAAGAAATGTGCAGCGCTCCGAAGAAAAGCCGCCCACTTCGTCGCCCCCAGAAAGTGCGCGCCGAGCGAGTGCGCGCCGAAGTGGCGGGCAAATGCTAGCAGACGCGGGGGGGCTTATTCAAGTTTGTGGTCTGGAGAGGAAAGAGTGAGTGCACAACGTCTCTGCCCACGCGGCTGCCTGAAGTTTGCAAAATCTGAGTGAGGCGGCCAGGGCAGTGAGTGCGCTGCACCATATTGCCGCGCGTCGGAATGCACGGCGCGAGAGCGAGCGCACACAGCCTCCCTCCTTCGCTTCGGGCCGGGAAAAAGGAAGACCAGGGTCAGGGGGAGGCAGGCGTTCTGATAAACCGGAGTTCTCGCCAAATGTAAGGCGGACTTGGCGTTGCTGCCACTTAGCCAGCCGGGAAGGCGCTGCGGCGCCCGCCCCCGCCCCCGGCTCGAGACTGCGGCGGTGCTCACTGAGCCTGCGCGCCGGGCTTTTCTCGCTGATGCGGCAGATACAGCGCTGAGAGGCGCGGGTGACTAACGCGGGAGGGTTAGCGGGGAGGCCGGGTTCCCTGCTCCGGCCTCGGAGGAGGAGCCGCCACCTACGGAGTGATGCCGCGTTAACAGACTGGAAAATACTCGCCAGCTCCCTGGCACTTGCTGCACACGCTTCCATCCTCCGCGCTCCTACGACCCCGCTTACCGAGAGCTGGGAAATCGCTGCCGCCTCCCCCCGCCCCCATCCCTGCTCGCCGCGCCCGCCCAGACAACCGCGCGCTACATCTGCTCCTTGACTTTCCTGGCGTGTGTCTTGTTTGTGTCGTTCTGCCTCCTCACTCGGATCTCGGCGTGGGTAAAGAAGAGTGCCCACGCTGGACGGATTTCTGTCTTTTCCTTTTCGCTTCGAATTCTCCTGTAAGGAGAGGCCCTTAAATGTCTGTAGATTGGTCAGACGAGCTGAGGACCAAGCAGTTCCCAGCAGCAGCTCTTTTTCTCTTTCGAGATGGTCAAAACTCTCCCCTAAATGTCTCCAGCCCGCCTCGACCCCCTCGATCATGGCTAAGCCCCTTCGTTTAACAGAAATAAATGAGGAGTACTTGGCTATAGTCCAGAAAACACAACAGACCTCATGTCCGATAAGCTGGGATTGTGGTGGTCCTGATCGAAAACTGGGGAAGCCCCGCGTGGGGGAATATCAGGAAAGATCAAGTGGCACAAAGTCAAAAGAAGCTAGGGGCACTTCGGTACACAAAGTTGCCATTAAAGTTTATTTCCTTTTTATCCAGATAGGTGACGCTACACTTTGCCGGTTACTAAGGGCCGTAGGTTTCTATTCAGAAAATAATATCGAGGTTTCCAACATGTGTTTATTCCCCAGGCGCGCGCACACACGGTGTATCCCGAGCAAGCACGAAGACAGGAATGTCAAGCATTTCAACAAAGACAGGCGTCCCCCTTCCCCCATCCAATCCCTCCAAAGTCTGCACTCCCAAAAAAGGATCCCTCGACCCTTCCCTCTGGAGTTTGATGTTCTCTCTTCATTACTGCAGCCCGTCATGGTTTTTCAGAACAGCAGCGTGGCTTCCTGGGCGCACACGGGTTTCCCAAGCCACGAGTAACCACCATGCCCTACCAAAATGCTAAATCTCGAACCGGAGCTACTTTAAGGGGGAGGACATCATCTGAGAGGGGGAACAAGAAGGAGAACTGTATCCTCAAATCCGTTTCAGAGCTCTCACGTACGCACTGGGCATTATTCAGAGGAGGAGGAAATTTACCAGCCCCAGGGAAGGAAAGCAAGTCCCCCAGAGAAGACCGCGGCTGCACTTGCTGGGGGGACTAGGTTTGGGCCTAAAGGGGGCTGGCTGGGACTGGGCACACTCGGAGCGTTCCCGGGAGCTGAAGCTGGGCTTTCTGGAGCGCGGCGGCTGGCTGACGCTCCCTCCCGCCACCTTTCCCGGGCCCTCCTCCCTCGCTCTCTACGAGTGTGTAGTTTCGGCGGCTCGGCTGCTGCCGCCGTCGCCGCCGCCGCCGCCGCCGCGTCAGGGACAAGCCTGAGCCAGGAGCGAGCGATCTCCCAGAAGCAGCCACCACTTTGGGCAACTTGCGGGGTTCCGGCTCGCAGATAGCTAACGGGAGCTACCCACTTGCGGTTCAGTGTTTCAGAGCCGCGGCAGCCCGAGCGAGGGGCGGCAAGAGCGCCCGCACCAGACTCTCCCAGACGCGAGAGGGGACGAGACAACTGCGGAATTCACCCGCCGTGCCAGGGCACTTCCGAGGCCACAACAGACTGGCACTTTTTTCCCCCTTGGCAAACTGGATTTTTTTTTTTTTTTAAGCTACTTGGCAGCTGTCTCTGACTCCACCTCCCCCTCCACCCCCTCCCCAAAGCCTTTGGCTTTTCTTCGGAAATCCGGACAAAATTGGGCATCTTTGTTAATTGCCGTTGGGGGAGCCCGGCCGTGCGCTTTCCCCGGGCCAACGTCGCCTGTGCATCGAGCCTGGTTTGCTCACCTTTGAACTGCAAAAGGATCAAGTTCAGCTCGAGTTCCCTGCATTGGGACTGGGAGGAAGGAGAGAGAGAGCGTGCAGGAGAGCGAGTGGGAGAGGGGGAAAGGGGAAAGGAAAGGAGGGAGGAGAGAGAGGAGGGAGGAGAGAGGGAGGGAGGGGAGGGATCGAGAGAGCGGGGAGAGAGAGCGAGGCTGCAATCTCCTCCCTGAATCGCGCACAGCGCTGCAGATCCCACTGCTCCGACATGCGGGCCGAATGCAGGTGAGAAAAGGCACGGACTCTGCGGCTGCGAACCCAAACTTGGGCACCGCGCGGTGCGCACGGCTCAGCCCTCGCCCCCGCGGGCGAACGGCTGCTGCGGTTTCAGGCGGAGGCTTCGTGACTAATGACCTTGCGCAGAGTTGTTAAGAAAAAAGAGAAATCCGAGCTCTCCGGGTGAGAAGGGACTGACTCTGGGCGTCTCTGAAGATGGCTTGGGCTGCTCTTTGGCGCGCCGGGGGGACCCGGACGCGGACGGCTCTGTGACGCGAGTAGTCTTCACTGCACCGTGCCCGAAGCGACCTGCCAGGGATTTTTCATTCTCGGTCTGTTGACTGGCTTCCCCGCTGCCTGAGCGGAGTCGGAGTTGAGACTGGCTTGTTGCTGGCCCCAGCGCCTCGTGCAGGAAGCGACCCGCGTTTGCTCGGGCAGAGGTAGCGGGAGCAGAGGCTGGGTCTGGAGTGAGTGGCTGGAACGTGAACTGGACTCAACTCGAGTAGCAGCGAAGACGAGCGGGGCTGACAGCGGGGGAGGCTGCAGGCTCGTTGTTCCCCACTGCTTCCCAGCCCCACCGCCCGACTGCCAGAGCGGTTCTGGCCCCTTCGGACAGAGTGGGGACCGGATCCCGGGATCCTCCGCCCGCTGCGGGGATGACTCTGGGTGGGGGCGGGGGGGCTGCCGAGCCAGCGGCGCGCAGTGTCCCGTGAACTGTGAGTACTGCGACTGAACCGCGGCCGGCAAGCGGGCGATTAGCACCCATTGCATGAATTATGAAACAATAACTTTCGGAAGAAGCAGGAGGAAAAAAAAAAGAAGAAGCCTCTATCGCTGGTCCCCCACCACCACCTCCGGCCGAGTCTGCACGCTGCTCTTGCCCCCTCCCTCCCCTTCCTCTCCTTCCTTTCCTGTAGAGGGGATAGGGCTGGGGGGAGGGCAGGCGGCTAGCCCCGCAGGAGGGGGCGCCGAGGGGGCTGTGGTTAGAAGGAGCAGTAGCAGCAGCAGCAGGAGAAGATGCTGAGGATGCGGACCACGGGATGGGCGCGCGGCTGGTGCTTGGGCTGCTGCCTCCTTCTGCCGCTCTCGCTCAGCCTGGCGGCCGCCAAGCAACTCCTCCGATACCGGCTGGCCGAGGAGGGCCCCGCCGACGTCCGCATCGGCAACGTCGCGTCGGACCTGGGCATCGTGACTGGCTCGGGTGAGGTGACTTTCAGCCTGGAGTCGGGCTCCGAGTACCTGAAGATCGACAACCTCACCGGCGAGCTGAGCACGAGCGAGCGGCGCATCGACCGCGAGAAGCTGCCCCAGTGTCAGATGATCTTCGACGAGAACGAGTGCTTCCTGGACTTCGAGGTGTCGGTGATCGGGCCCTCGCAGAGCTGGGTGGACCTGTTTGAGGGTCGGGTCATCGTGCTCGACATCAACGACAACACGCCCACCTTCCCGTCGCCCGTGCTCACGCTCACGGTGGAGGAGAACCGGCCGGTGGGCACGCTCTACCTGCTGCCTACGGCCACCGACCGTGACTTCGGCCGCAACGGCATCGAGCGCTACGAGCTGCTCCAGGAGCCCGGGGGCGGCGGCGGCGGCGGCGAGGGCCGGCGCGCCGGGCCGGGCGACAGCGCCCCCTACCCCGGGGGCGGCGGGAACGGCGCGAGCGGCGGCGGCTCCGGAGGCTCCAAGCGGCGGCTGGACGCACCAGAGGGCGGCGGCGGCACCAACCCCGGCGGCCGCAGCAGCGTGTTCGAGCTGCAGGTGGCCGACACCCCGGATGGCGAGAAGCAGCCGCAGCTGATAGTGAAGGGGGCGCTGGACCGCGAGCAGCGCGACTCCTATGAGCTGACCCTGCGGGTGCGCGACGGCGGCGACCCTCCTCGTTCCTCGCAGGCCATCCTGCGGGTGCTCATCACCGACGTGAACGACAACAGTCCCCGCTTTGAGAAGAGTGTGTACGAGGCCGACCTGGCAGAGAACAGCGCCCCGGGGACCCCCATCCTGCAGCTGCGCGCCGCCGACTTGGACGTGGGGGTCAACGGGCAGATAGAGTACGTGTTCGGGGCGGCCACCGAGTCAGTGAGGCGGCTGCTGCGCCTCGACGAGACGTCCGGCTGGCTCAGTGTCCTGCACCGCATCGACCGCGAGGAGGTGAACCAGCTGCGCTTCACGGTCATGGCCCGCGATCGCGGGCAGCCCCCCAAGACCGACAAGGCCACCGTGGTCCTCAACATCAAGGACGAGAACGACAACGTGCCGTCCATTGAAATCCGCAAGATCGGACGCATCCCGCTCAAGGACGGAGTGGCCAACGTGGCCGAGGACGTTCTGGTGGACACCCCCATCGCTCTGGTGCAGGTGTCGGACCGAGACCAAGGCGAGAACGGGGTGGTCACCTGCACCGTGGTGGGCGACGTGCCCTTCCAGCTCAAGCCGGCCAGCGACACAGAGGGCGACCAGAACAAGAAAAAGTACTTCCTGCACACCTCAGCCCCTCTGGACTACGAGACCACTCGGGAATTCAACGTGGTCATAGTGGCGGTGGACTCAGGCAGTCCCAGCCTCTCCAGCAACAACTCCCTGGTTGTCAAGGTGGGAGACACCAACGACAACCCGCCGGTGTTCGGCCAGTCGGTGGTGGAGGTTTACTTCCCTGAGAACAACATCCCCGGCGAGAGGGTAGCCACTGTGCTGGCGACAGACGCCGACAGCGGAAAGAACGCGGAGGTTGCCTATTCCCTGGACTCATCCGTGATGGGGATCTTTGCCATCGATCCCGATTCTGGGGACATCCTCGTCAATACGGTACTGGACCGTGAGCAGACTGACAGGTATGAGTTTAAAGTTAACGCCAAAGACAAAGGCATCCCTGTGCTGCAGGGCAGCACCACGGTGATTGTGCAGGTGGCTGATAAGAATGACAATGACCCTAAGTTTATGCAGGACGTCTTTACCTTTTATGTGAAAGAAAACTTGCAGCCCAACAGCCCTGTCGGGATGGTCACCGTGATGGATGCTGACAAAGGGCGGAATGCAGAGATGAGCCTGTACATAGAGGAGAACAGCAATATTTTTTCTATTGAAAATGACACGGGGACCATTTACTCCACAATGTCTTTTGACCGGGAACATCAGACCACATACACTTTCAGAGTCAAGGCTGTGGACGGGGGAGATCCTCCCAGATCCGCCACGGCCACAGTCTCTCTCTTTGTGATGGATGAAAATGACAATGCTCCCACAGTTACCCTTCCCAAAAACATTTCCTATACTTTACTGCCACCTTCAAGTAATGTCAGGACAGTTGTAGCTACAGTGTTGGCAACAGACAGCGACGATGGCATCAATGCAGACCTGAACTACAGCATCGTGGGAGGGAATCCCTTCAAACTGTTTGAGATTGATCCCACCAGTGGTGTGGTTTCCTTAGTGGGAAAACTCACCCAAAAGCATTATGGCTTGCATAGGTTGGTGGTGCAAGTGAATGACAGTGGGCAGCCTTCCCAGTCCACTACGACTCTGGTGCATGTGTTTGTCAATGAAAGTGTTTCTAATGCAACTGTGATTGACTCCCAGATAGCCAGAAGTTTGCACACCCCACTCACCCAGGATATAGCTGGTGACCCAAGCTATGAAATTAGCAAACAGAGACTCAGTATTGTCATTGGGGTAGTTGCTGGCATTATGACAGTAATTCTAATCATCTTAATTGTAGTGATGGCAAGGTACTGCAGGTCTAAAAATAAAAATGGCTATGAAGCTGGCAAAAAAGATCATGAAGACTTTTTTACACCCCAACAGCATGACAAATCTAAAAAGCCTAAAAAGGACAAGAAAAACAAAAAATCTAAGCAGCCTCTCTACAGCAGCATTGTCACTGTAGAAGCTTCTAAACCAAATGGACAGAGGTATGATAGTGTCAATGAGAAGCTGTCAGACAGCCCAAGCATGGGGCGATACCGATCAGTTAATGGTGGGCCTGGCAGTCCTGACCTGGCGAGGCATTACAAATCTAGTTCCCCGTTGCCTACTGTCCAGCTTCATCCCCAGTCACCAACTGCAGGAAAAAAACACCAGGCTGTACAAGATCTACCACCAGCCAACACATTTGTGGGAGCAGGAGACAACATTTCAATTGGCTCAGATCACTGCTCTGAGTACAGCTGTCAAACCAATAACAAGTACAGCAAACAGGTAAGATGTATCACAAATATATTTAAATATCCCAGAGAAGGCTAATAACTCTGAGATAGATCTCGTCTTCTGTAAAGTTTTGTCTTTTCTTTTTTAAAGTTATTGTTGGAAATTTTAATAGCAGGAAATCAATGTTAATTCACGCACCATTAATTGAACAGAGGCCAACTACAAGAAGTGTAGCACTGTATTTTGTAAGTCAGACCTAATGTTCACTAAGCTACTAAAAGAAATATTCAAAGTGGGCAGGATTTTGCACTTCTCTTTGCACTTGACAGCCCTAATTCATCCTATATTTTCTGTTTCCGGAATAAAATGTATATATTATTTGAATGGTTACTTTTAACCTGAAATTATTTTCTTTTGTGGCAACTAAGTGTATAATTGCATCCAGAGAGGAAATTTCTAAAGTTACTACTGGTGTCTATTTAAATTAGAAACCATTAAAGTTTTAGCTATGTTATACATAATGCAGGATTTTACAGATAAGTGGATGCTGATTTATGCAAATGCAGTAAGAAGTCTGAGATACTGAAATACTAACTACTTTGACAAAAATGGTGGTTTAAAAATATTTACTGACATGCAAATGCCATGCAAAACTACATTTTCAATACTTTATAATAACAGATAAACCATTAGGCTTCTACGATGATATGCAATCAGCATTTACGTTCTTCCTATTTGGTATTAAAACTTTACAAACAAAAATAAATTGCATGATCCATGTATCATTTAAGCCAAGCAACACAAATGTTCATGATTGATGTACTGTGTGCAATACTGTTATGCATTGTGATATAGTGAGAATATAAAGGTTATGTGAAATATTTGACATAGTCGTTTCTTGGTAAAATGTGGAAACAGTATATATATATATATATTTTTTTTTTTTTTTTCTGAGGGGAACTTTGGAAATTACAAAATTTATTTTTGGAAGTTTTGCTTGAGTGAAAATAATCCTCAGAAAGTTTATGTTTTATACCTACCAAAGTTTGATGCACAGCAAATAAAACCTTTTGAGAAGGGCTGTGTCTAATAGTGTAGCAAACTCTGCTAATAAAACATCACATATTTCTTATTGTCAAAACTCATCTCAAGAAACACATTTATGACTGTCAAATAATATTTCTATTCACTATGCTTTGCATGTGAAATATGGGATCTTAGGAGAATTGAGGTAAAGGAAAAACTTATAGTGTCATTAAGGATGTTATAGAAAAGAGATATTAATTCCTATTGCTTTCATAATTATTAAAATTAGTTTCCTAAAGAAATATTTCCTATATGTAGTATTTTAGTGTAGCTATTGGGATAAGGAGAAACAGACTTAATATGCTTTTATATCCAATAACAAAAGCAATACAAGAAAACACAGGTTTGAACTAATTACATTAAATAGCTTTTGAAAATGTCTTTTGATGCATGTGAGCTTGAATTCCTTATTTATTTTAAGCCAATGTTTAACATAGTGGAGACTTTTATATCTGTTATGTTATTGCTTTACCTGGAGTTAAAAGCAGATTTCTGTTTTGTTTTTGGTGCTTTTATCAGTTTTGTAAATAAGGAAGATTTCAGTTAAAATAATAGCACTTTTTAAACATTACTTATAAACACCCACGAATAAATTGACATCTGTAGAAATTTTCCTAGAAAATGGTAACATATAATGCAAAAGGGTGTGATTTTTGCAGAACATTTACTTCTTAGTTCTTATCCTAATAGCACTTTTGTCCTGTGGCTGAATGGTATTTGCATTTTCAATTGTGTAATCTCATGCTTTTGAGTGGACATATCAAGTGGCAGATTTATAGATACTTTACACAAACACTTCATATGTTCTCTGCTGTCACTTAAGCTTCATTTGGCTCATCGGATGGGGTTAGCTCTATATTCCTGAATATTTAAGACAGCTAATGTCAAGACTGTTGGCATCCTGTTTAAAAGGCAAAGTGATATGCTTATAAATAAACTAATGTATGGTGTTAGTCTCTTAACTGAGCAAAGAAGTCCACATACCAAAAGAGAAAACCCTCAAAGCAATTGGAATGAATCACACAGTTTGCCAAAGTGACTTTAGAAAACTTGTGTGTCATTAGGTATTCAAAGGATGTATAAAGTTTTAACCACAAGTAAATAGCTGACCTAAAATGAAATAGAGGCAAATGAAACACATTCTCCTTTAATGTAATTAGTAACGGTAATTGATATGCTTCATCTCCTCAATATTGCTGTCAGGGGACAAGGGATCCATTTACAAAGTTACGTTCTGTTTTGACATCTGACATAAACAGGATCCTTTTCATTCTGATTTTTGTTAGTACCATAAGTAGGTAATTTTATTTTTTCATTTTTTAAAAATATTACCTTTAATTTTTTCAGAACTGCCAAAATAT